TTGGGATGGGAGGAATTCCTGTAAACCAAGGCATGATGGGAATGAACATGAGCATGAATATGGGCATGGCTGCTCCAGTGATGATGGGTGGTATGGCTGGCGTGGGAGTTCCAGGAGTGGGGATGGGCCTTGCACACTCAATCACCCCATCTGTTGTTCCACCCAAACAAGATGCCTTTGCTAACTTTGGCAGTTTTGGGAAATGAAGAAGTGCAACTAAGTGTGTGTGAGAATGTGAGTGTGCATGACTGGCATTAAGAGAGGACCACAGGAGGACTGCTTTACTTGAAAGACAAGCTTGCATGTATCAGTCTCTGCTTCCTCTCTTTGACAAGCTGGCACTTGTGATTATTCACCATCAAAGTATGTTGATATGAAGGGAGAGTCAGGGTAAAGTGCCCATTGGTGCCCCTCAACCAACTGTTATTTGATGTGTGAAATGATGATGTCACAGAGAGGACACCCCAAAAGTAGGGAGGTGTCAACCTTGAGTCATTACTGCCCTATGGGGAAACAGTCTTTACCAGTTTTTTTTTATAAAGACAGCAAATTACCCCCTCCCCCTGCAAACTGAAGTTTTCCTCTAACTGCACAGAGAATCCAATCTGCTAGGTTGACTCAAATAAACATGGCATCTGCTGCCTTAATTCATCATTGTAGCCTGAGATATCACATTTTATACAAAAGAATATATCCCAAAGTTAAAGCCATGCCATGATTGGCATCTGTTACTTTCTCTCACTCCTTGTGCCAACAGTATGATGCAAACAGTCTCTCCAGCAGAGGGCAGGATGGGTGTATACTTTATGGGAGGACTTCTTGAGCCATACCAGTGTAAAAATATCATATTACAACCGCTCCCTCTTTTTCCCTCCTGTCTTTTTCATCAGGCCTCTGAAAGTTCACACTTACTCAGTTTGATGATGTTTACACATTTTGTTTGAGTGAAACATTTAACTTCTAAGAACAAAAGGTCCAGCACATACTGTTGTGCTCTTTATTTTACAAAAATCTGATTTTGTTACCGGTAAATTGAGACTTGGAATCTTCTTAACAATTTCATTTTTCTCAGATTAAAGCCTGGTGAAAGGTCAGTAAATGTTTCATTTAGAGAACTATTTACAGATTATTTATCTTTTTAAGAACCTATCTGAATTGTGTCATTTTTTTTAAATAGCTGTTAAAGAACACTTGATGGTTAAGGAGCTAAATGCTTTCTGACACACATCTATCATGTTAATTATACTTGGCACACAGATATGGATGGAGGGAAATAATCTTTTTTGAAGAGTATTTTTAAACAGGCTGTGGGAAGGGGAAAACCTTTGCCTAACATCCACATGCTACTTATTCTCCCCCTACCCCCCATGATAAAAACAAGTGTTACATTTCACATAAAATGCTTGAATTGGATTATTTTTCCTGAGTTCAAATGATTCCTATGGCTAGCTGAGACTATTATAAAGGATGTTGTGGTCTAGAGTAAAGTGTGTGTACGAAAAGAGTGTATGACTGTGTGAGACTTTGTGTGGGTATAGTTTTCTCTGTTTGATGTGCAAACACAGCTAAGCAGAGCCTCTTGTCATTTTCTGAGGCCCTGAACTCCAAATGACCAAATCTTTATTTTGTTACTCTCAGATAAATGATTCCATAGCAATTTGTTCAATATTTTATTAGGTTACCTGTAAGGTTATGTTCATATAGCAGAGAGCTACTAAAAACATAATTCAGTAGACAGGAATCATGCATTTGTTTCTTTTTTGGAACACCTCGTTTTATTTGATTTTACGCTATATTTTCTGTACTTCATTCAGTATTAAATTAACTTATAACATTTATGACCCTGTTTTCTTTCTTCATGATCTGGCTGATATCCGCATACAGCATGAACAGGCCCATTGTGGCAGCCAATAGGTTCCTAAGAAGAGGCAATATTCTGTAGGCTAATTCAAAATTAACACTTCAATTTATTAGCCTAATTCCAGTTGTAGACCCAATGGATAATAATATTTATTTTGTCGAAAAACATTTCTACAATGAAGAAAACTCAACAATATCCCAGCAGTTTTATTCCAAGCAGTAAATAACTATTTTCTATCATAAATGCCTATTTTGCTTAACACATAAAGGCTGAGTATCTAACTGGGAATAGAACACCGCGCTGACTTTTTAATGTCCCAAAACATTCACTGTTGTCTAGGCAACGGTCAGTTTAATTTTTATACAATTGTGCATATTTTTAAAATAACACCAAACCTATCCAATATAGACATGCCAATGGACGGCTTAGCTGAAATTAGAAAACTAGAAGCGTATCTTTTTAGCAGATACAGGCCTACAGAGCAGGGCTCAAAGACGCCCTCCTCTTACTTTTTTGGTAACATGGACCAGACCTGGAATCGCGGCGACATAAACTACTTGGCCTCGCTTGGCGCAGGTCATGACTTTCGAGACGGAAAGCTACCATCCATATCGATTTTTCCAAACCAACCACCACCTCAGCATGATGTGCCAGAGGACGTGAGAAGCAGGGGTTGTGGCGGGGATTGGGTTCGGTCAGACACTGCCCCTTTGAACCCCGAGCAGGTGGGTGAAGCAGGTGAAGTTCCCCTCCAGGTAAAAAAGAGGCTGGATTCTCAACAGGCCTCTACATGTAGAGAGCTTCTGAACCAAGATTCAGTCCATCCTATCCTGACCTCAGCCAGCAGTGATAAAGATGCTGGTCGGGTCACCAGTTTTACCATCCCACCATCGGAGGAAGGTAGGCATAATAAATGTTATTATAGTTACTCTTTGTGTGGACGCTGTGGGGCAGGTACGGAGGCAGAAAATAAATGGTTGTTCTTGGTCAGAGTGGGGATTTAAAAATGTTTTTTTTTCATCATCAACATTTAAATTATGCTGTAGGTACTATATGGCCTATAGGCCTATGAATTCTGCAAAATGAGAGACATATAGACAGAGTCAAAGCCCTGATTTACAGGCTATGAAAAAAAAAAGAGATCGTGTGGGTACTTTAACATTAGACAGGCTATAGTTGGACAAAATTATGATATTTTGGTATAATTTTGGAGTAGTAGGCCTATCCTCATAATGCCTAAAGGATAAAAGTTCTGACTAGTTTTTTTGTAGGCCTATCTGTTTTTTCCCTAATGTGAGGCTACTTTTCCTTTCGACTAGGCTATATTTCATTTTTCTTTTCTTAGGGGATATGTGTTTCCTTGCTGACAGCATTGGTTGATTTAGCTATATATAGCCTACATAACTCTTAAATAACTAATCTTTGTTTCCAAACTATATCTTCAACTACAATTTTAGCTGATTAAAATATAGGCCACATTGAGCACACAATTCTGCAGATTAACTGGATGCTAACCATTATATATTTTTTTTTTAGTTGATTTTTTTTTTTTAAATCTTACCTTAAACATTTATAAAGCAATCTTTATCTAATCGATCAATAATACTGAATGTATTTATTGTCTATAACTCTACATTCAACATTTTTACCCCAGATCTGAGTTTGTTGCAGTCCTTCCAAGAGAAGAACGGATATGTTAAAAGGCCAATGAATGCCTTCCTGGTGTGGTCTTACATCCACCGGTGTACCCTGAAAAAGCTAAATCAAGGATTCTGCAAGAGAGATACTAGTACTCGGTTAGGTCATGAGTGGTCCAAACTCAGCAAGGAAGAAAAGAGGCCTTACTTTGAAATGGCTAACAAAATAAAACGCATACACCATCAGAAATTCCCTGGTACGTAAGACTTCTAGTGACTGCTGATTCATGTGTGTCAGATTTCTGTGCTGTTGCCATTGACGAAAACTCATAACTTTGACTTTGCTGTCTGTTTTGTCACATTATTCCAGAATATGTGTTTCGTCCTCAGAGGAAGAGTAGCAAAGAGTGCTTGTCTTCAGGGCAAAGAACAGGGCCAGACATCAGCTTATCTGCCTCAAGGCCAATTCCGCTGGTGCAGTCTGAGTTTCAAGGCCCCGGCATGAAGAGCACCAAGATCCGGAGTGCAAGGTTTGTGAAATATTTCTTAAGAGAATGCCAGAATACCAAGAATACATGTTTCAATTACATTTGCTTTGACACATTCAATAGAGGTTTTTCTTATTTACATCCTTTGTTTTTATTTTTTTTAACATTTACCCACATGTCTGCAGCTCCATGAAGGAAGCGGGGAATCACCGCAACAGTCACCCACAGAGAGACAAAAGGGATCTGGCCTCCCTGCACACAATCAAGCAGCAGACGCATTGTACCTCTGACAATAGTCATGAAGTTATGATTGGATCTACCGAGACATCAGAGAGCCATAAACAGACTGATATTGTCACCAGTCTGCAGCTTTTGCCAAATGAATGTGATGATTACGTCGATGTGGTTGGACTGCTCTAGGAGATGTTCAGCATGTACTAAGCATATGTCTCTGGAGGTGCCATTTTGTTGGGATCTACTTTTGACTTTATATTAATATAAAGCATTTTGCGACTGTCTTTTGGTATTCTTTTATCATAAATTCTAACTAAAGTATGATATTATATTCTGCCTATTTTATTGCATTACCAAATAAATGCAAGGATCCAAAGCAATATGTTGTCTTATTACAGTACATACTGTGTAAATATGAAGAAAAAAATGTATTTTCCAGTTTAAACTGAAATGATAATCAAATCTTTACTTTTAAAAGACTTCAACTATCAAAAGGTTGATTCTGAAAACTGCAACTCCACATGAAAAGTTTGTCTACTTCAGAAAGTTTTTTTTTCCTTGCCCATGGCCTCCACTAACACAGGAAACACACGGAGTGGGAAACTTTCAATGAGCGATGTGGACACAAAGACGTATCCAAATACCGAAATCCAAGCGGACCTATGAAAGCTTGGCCGAGCCTCCGCAATTTTTTTTTTATCCAATTAGAGGTCGAGCAGCGCCGTTGCGCTATGATTGACATTAAAGTTGATCGAATCGGAAACGCAGACACCACTTAGGGGCGTTTCCAGGAAGAGAGTGGCTACATGTTCCTGTAATGGCGGACCAGACAGAGAGCGAGACTATCGGGTTCAGCGACAACAGGTCAGATATTAGCAAATAAGGCGTTAAAACACATGTGAACGAAGTTGGATCGTAACAACAAGCCTGGTGGTTTAAACCGAGTCTGTCCGTGTTGTTTTCTGGCCGAGAGGTTGCAGTGAAACAGAGGTTTCTCTTGTGCATGTAGCCACGTTAGCGCGTTAGCTTCTGCTCCCTGTTGCCAAGCGGCTCGTCTTCCCTGCTCGTGGCACGCGGTAAACACAGGCAGCGAGGAATAAACATCCAGATGTTTCTCCTCCTCTTCTGGGCTGCACACAGTATCAACCCGGGGTTCATTGAGACACGTTAAACATGTCTCAAGTCTGCTTTTCGTTAACATATTTTTTAGCTATTTGTTAGCCACCAAGCTAAGCTATGCTACATTCATTTCTAGCCAGGGGCATATACACTGTAACGTGGTTTATCGTATCTTTTGTTTTTAAATGCACGAAGATCCCGTTTTTTTTCTGGAGTGTCAAATTGAAGAACACGAAACATAAATGTGTGCTTTAGTAAACTTCTGTGATCTGAATATAGAGCTGCTCCTAAATACTGCGTAACAAAACAAAAAGAAGCAGAAGGTGTCTGTGCAGATCAATAACACGAATCAGCTGCAGATGAGGTCTCACTAACACCACAGCTATCAACCATTCTTATCTTATCTGTGCTTGATTTGTCAGTCTATCCTAGGCTACACTGTGGCTTCCTCCATCTGTTCTCTGTACGATCTGTTTGCATATGTGTGTGTGTGTGTGGACCTGCACAAAAAAAAACATGTTAGGAAAATTATTTTTGTTTAATAAAGGGAACAATTGATGTGCATCACCTTGAATCAATGTTTTAGTTGATGTATTAGTAGAATTCCTCTCTCAATTGTTTCGGAATGACTTGAGAGTGACAGCTGAGAGAGATGTGTGATTATATTGACATGACTGATATTGTGACCGACATTGTGAATGTTAAAATTTGGCCAATCTGAGGTACATACTGTAAAATACAAGAACCATCTAATGGAGAGTGTGAGATGTCCTTTTTTGGGTTCTTGTAGTAACAGATACTTTAAGACCTCCAGTTACGTGTGATATATAATGTATAAGTATTGATAAGTTATATATCTAAGGGTTCTTGTAGGAATATAGTTATCATCCATAGAACACTGGCTTTGACTTCATATTTGTTCTCAATGTGCTAGAATGGCGCAGCAGGCACTGCGGTTCCGTGGCCCTACCCCTGCACCTGTACCTGCAACTGCCCCTGCTCCGACCCCAGTGTTACGAGGCCCACCACCACTCCTTAGGCCACCGCCTCCTCCTTTTGGGATGATGAGGGGACCCCCGCCACGACCCCCATATGCGCGTCCCCCCTTCGATCCCAGCATGCCACCAATTCCACCACCAGGAGGCATGCCACCACCCATTGGACCTCCCCATCTACAGGTTTCCGTTTTCCCCATCCTTATCTGCGTGTATACTGTGTTTTAATTATTTGAGGTGTACTACTGAATTAAAAAACTTCTGTCTGTCGGAATGGTGTCAACACACAGCATTTAAGGAGAGACAGACAAGCAGTAAAGAAGCCTTCCATAGTTTGCCATGTAATAGTTTTTTCACATGATGTATGTTATGTGTCTATACAAATAGCAGTATTTTTATTTATCATATTTATGTTTAGCCTTCATTCTGAGCTAGGGCTACCTCATGTCTTTTAAGGGTCTTCAAAATGTTTTAAATGAGATTTCTAAGGTCATGTAACGTCTTGTCATATAAAAAGGAAATCTTTTTTTAACTACTGTGAGGTAGGTGGTTGGCTTGTTCCTGTGAAAATTCACAGCATTTACTGCAGCACATTACGTACGCAATCACAGACAGTGAACGGAAGTGAGAAGAAGAAGAGGGGGACATGCAAGTTCAAGGAAATTTGGCTTCAATGAAAAATGAAGGGAATGGTTTGCAAGGGCAACCATAATTATGTGGTGACATGGAGGATATGAAAATAAACTTTTAACCTCGGAACATTGAGAATCAAAGCCATTGAGTCCCACATGAAATCTAGTTAAACAAAAACATGAATTTTTGTATGTGTGGGTCTTAAAAACTTGAATTTGATTTTATAAAGTGTGCAGCAACTCTGTTTGTAATGATTGTGAGATCTGTTATCACCATGAGACTATCTCCTTAATATCTCTGGGTGTAAAAGATCATAGAGGTAAATTTAGCAAACCACTGTCTTTTAGACACCATGGTGGTTAAGTCATTAGCGTCATGATGTCAAGACAAGTTTATTTATACTGTATATACTGCATCAACAAACCAATTCAATGTAGTTTCTGCAATGAATAACATTTATTTTTTAGTAGCAGGCACAAACCAGACAAGGAAGATAACCACCAGCGAGCACAGTATTCATAATCTCTTTAGCTACCACTCTCTTATAAATTGAATCTTAAAAACGCATTTGATTCTCTCATGCTGATACAAATGTTGTTGACTTGGTTGCTGGCTCAAAAGCGACTTTTTATTTGAGCCGCCAAAGTCACTCTTTGTCTATGAGAGTAGGGCATTTTTAAACCTAAACCCTTGTCTCGTAAGCCTTAAAATGTAATTCTGGGTCCTTATCCTTTGTTTCAGAGACCTCCCTTTCTTCCCCCACCAATGGGCAACCTGCCACCTCCTCCAGGAATGCTGTTTCCTCCCGGGATGCCCCCCATTCCCACATCCGGAACCCCTGCCCTCAACCCTACAGAGGAGATCTGGGTAGAGAACAAGACACCAGAGGGAAAGGTAAGCTGGAAGTTAAACATCAACTTATTTATTGAGTTTGGAAATGTTTAAACTAATTTGTATTATTTTAGTCATTTTGTTTTTCAAAAAGTACATCAAAGCTCATAAGAATGTAGCCTTTGCTTATCTTTGCACCTTTTGTGTCTTTTGTCCCCTCTACAGGCATATTACTACAACGCCAGGACCAGAGAGTCGTCATGGAGCAAACCTGATGGTGTGAAGATCATACAGCAGTCCGAACTTAACCCTCTACTTGTAGCAGGGGGCGGGTCAGCGGGGTCAGGTGCAAGTGGAGGGGTGACCACATCTGCCGGTTCAAGCAGTGTCAACACTACAGCAAGCACAGCAGCAGCAGCCTCCCCTACGCAGGCCCCGTCCGCCACCCCCACCCGCACACTCACCTCCAGTCCAGACTCCAACTCCTCCCCCTCCCACGCTGCGAACATCACAGGTAATTCCACACTCCTTTGTCAAGCATACACACACAAATTTACACACTCATTAAGACTACAAATCTTCTTGTTTGTTTATTTCCTTAAAGCCACTGTTGTAGCAGACCTGAACCCCATTTCCACAGTGACCTCAACTGTTACTGTGTCTCCAGTCACCGTGGTAACCGTTTCCACCATGCCGTCACCTGTTACAGCAGTTCAGACCATGCCTCTGCTCCCTGCATCTCTGCCTCACAGTGTGGCCCAGCCTACCGCAACCATACCTGCCTTCCCGCCTGTCATGGTGCCCCCATTCAGGGTGCCCCTGCCAGGCATGCACATCCCTCTGCCAGGTAAGAGCTGCAAACTCAGAAAAAAACAGACAGACAACTACTAACTAACCACATCCTGCCATGGTAGCTTGAAAGCCCAAAACAGTTGTTTTTTATTTAACTGATCAAACAATTAAGCCCATACTACCGCTTAGAGGAGTTTCCAGAGGAGAGATCAAGGGGTTGACACAATAATACAAATAGCTACACAGTACATTTAAATCAAGTATAACAGAGATGTTTCAAATCTGTTGGCTGGCCTCTAGTTCAGCTATTTGGTTTAAGTCTGTCATGTAGAGGGTCTAAAAATTAATGATGGGGGAAAAAAAAGATCGAATGGAAATCTTTTCAGTCCTTAAAACCTTTTCTTTTGTACACCTCACTCAGCTAGTATGGCGGCACTTACAGGCTCAAGTGCAGCCTTTTCTCAGTTTTGAGAAAAAATAATATTTTGCACACTGGTGAACTTGTCGTTTGACTTCTAGGTTGGTTAAATATCGATTGTTAAAGCTTGAATAAGCAACAGTATTTGTTAGATTACGAGTTATTCACTCCTCTTAGTCTTTGATGTTTCTTTCAGGGTCTTTTCTGTTGCTTTTCTCTTCCCTGCTGTCATGTGTCTTCTGTCATTCCTCCTCTTCTCCTTGTCCCACATTTTAACAGAATTAGATCAAAGGAGATATCTTGACTGGTTTACTTTGTTTGTTTGTTTGTTGTTTTTAGAGAGAAAGTGTCCTAACAGGCGATAGATAGTCCAGATCAGACATAATTTTAATTCAGATCTCAAATATCAGATTAGGGGGGTGTTTAGTGGCCCTCAGAATACTGTCCCAACATTAATGCAGTCACTCTTTCAGAAATGCCTGTAGATATTTCTCCCTTCTTTCAAAGATAATCTATGATAATTAATAATTTGTTGAAAGCAGTCCAAACACTTTTTTGATTAGTGAACCTAATTTGTACTCGACCATTTCTGAACAACAGTATAACTGTATGATGCACAATCCTACATTTTGGGCGTGTGTTTGTCTGAGTGGGGCCACACACACAAATTCTCACACACCATGGTAGTTGATGTCTAGTGTCCTGCTGTGTTCAACCAGATGCTTGCTTGTCCGTTGTTCTTGCAGGTGTAGCAATGATGCAGATAGTAGGTGCACCCTGTGTAAAGGCAGGCCCCAGCGCCAACGGTAAACACCCATCCGCTCGCCTCTCAGACCTACACTAGATGGCATGGTAGTGAATGTTTGAGTCGTTTGGTACATATGAAAACCTTCAGTGGCATGAACATGATCCGGTGTACGCAAGTGAGATTTCTGTCTTTACATCAGACAGAAATTAAATGTACAGCTTTATTATTATTATTATTATTAACCCTCATTTAAACACACACACTAATGTTTTACATTTTACATCCTCCGATCCACATACAATACTTTATTGAAAACAAATATATTTTTTTCTGGATGTTTTTTTGGACAACTAGCTAAACTTGCAGCAGTTTAAAGCTAAACTTTAGACTTTATATCTTTCCCTTAATGATGACTGAGCTGTGTTTGCGTGATGTCCTCAGTGACACTTGGGGAAAGTGTTGAGGTGTGTTCAAACCAAAAGTGAAGCAAATATTTGGTTTAGTTGGATAAATGCAAAAGGCGCCTTTCACCACGTTCATTTTCAAATAATCTAAAATAAAAGACTGCTTTTATCGGCACATATCAGAGATAAAATTAACCGATACCTGAAGTCACTTGATACGCTAATATCGGCTGATATTATCGGCTGGCTGATCAGTCGGTCGGGCTCTATTATTTATGAACCAAGACGTGAAGGATTAAACTCGCACAAGATACTCAAGGCGTGTATTTGCTTTGCTTATGGTCCGAACGCAGCTTTTGTTTTGTTCAGTAAATGAGAGGACACCTAAATCTAAATTGTAACATTGGCCAAAGATGTTGTTTGTTAGGGTCAGTCATTTTTAGTTGTTTGTGGATTGTGACTGTAAAATACTTGAGACTGTTTTAGCTTCTATCACCTGGTAGTGACTCATTACTCTATCAGTTTAGGGTTCTATGTCGTGGTCATGTTTTTGTCTTTTAATTGTGGCATGGTTGTGTGTGAGGTCACTTTATTTGTGTATGTGGCCTGTGTTTGGTCTTAATCATTTTTTTTGTGAAGACATTTTTAGACTTCTGCAGTTTTCTTCACTCATTAATAGTGTTCAGATTAATTATTATATTTTCACATATTCCCTCACTGATCTACTAATCTACTTTCCAAGATGACCAGGAAACTGCTCACAGTGAAAGCCCTATGAAAGGAATAAATCACTTACTCTGCCTGTGGAGCTTTCTGTCTCACTTCTGGTTTCGCTAATACCTTTTTTATTTGAAGGGGCAGCCTGGGAATTACTTTTCAAAATTGATGTATAAATTTATGCCTTTTCTAGATTTTAGTCAAATGCTTTTTTTTTTGGGCCCACACAGAAAGAAAATTCTCAGCCGATCATGGTCTGTCTGCTTCCTCTCTGTCTGATAACAGGCATGCTTCCTGGCATGGGTCCTCCTCTAGTGTCTATGATGCACCCACAGCTGACTCTCTCTGCTGCTCCTGCCTCCATGGCCGGATCATTGCAGCTGCCTGAGTGGTCAGAGTACAAAACAGCTGATGGGAAAACTTACTACTACAACAACAGAACACTGGAGTCCACCTGGGAGAAACCGCATGCCCTAGTGGAGAAAGGTAAGCACTGCTTACAGGCATGTGCACACACTACCATCCCCAGGTCTGACATGGTGGCATGATCCACCAGGCTTGGACTGGTTCCCAATCTCAAAAAACATTACCCACTTTGATATTTCCTGTTTGCAGAGAAAGAAATAGAAAGGCTGAAGGAGCGTCTGGCCCAGGAGGAAGCTGAGGCAATGGAGATGGAGGATGAGGAGAACAAAATGGAAAACGCTAACAATGAAAAGGAGGTAAGTGAAGACAGAAAATGTTTTGTTAAGATTATAAAAGCATGTTTAAGCTGCATGACATCCTATGAACTGAATTACTTTCACTAAGTACTTAACAACAACAACAACAACAACAACAACAACAACGTCAAGGAATAGAAATGCAACATATCAATATAATACAATCTTTGTTCACTGTCATTCCTGACTTTATGTGTAAAGATGAACACCGAACAGCTACTTCTCCTGGGCTTATCTTATGCCCTGTGTTGTTTTGCTAGCCTCTTTCATTTACCAGATCTACCCAGGTGACCTGGGTGACAAACTAACTTAAACACAGCCCTTAACATTATAGCTACCTGCCTTAATAGCAGTAATGAAACCTTTGAACCGCAGAAACGGATCAAGTAAAGGCTCTTCCCTGTTTTAACTACTGCGAATGATCATTTGAGCACAGAGCATTAAATTGCATCCTCAATGCTCAGAAGGGGCAATAACTTTACAAAGTGTTCAAAAGGCTAGATTGAATGTAACAGTGATGGAGGAGACCAATTTTTCTTTATCAAGGAGCCTAAAGAAGAAGAGATGACAGAGGAGGAAAAAGCCGCTCAGAAAGCGAGGCCCATCGCCACCAACCCGATCCCAGGCACACCATGGTACGTAGACAAGATCTCACACACTCTTCACTCCACTCCATCTAATGTCAGCTACACCTTTTAATGCTTTTTTTAATCTTCTAATGTTTTCATGTGTTTCACACAATTCAGGTGTGTGGTGTGGACGGGTGACGACCGCGTGTTCTTCTACAACCCGACGACACGGCTGTCGATGTGGGACCGACCTGAGGAGCTGGTCGGTCGAGGTGATGTTGACAAACACATCCAGGAGCCGCCGCACAAGAGAGGCCTAGAGGATAGCAAGAAGACAGGTGAGAAGACACACATGTTAAAATACAGTTAAGGATCTTGACATTAAAATATGTACTTTTGTATACTACAAAGAATGGGATGTAAGCTAATTGTGTTGATAATTAGAAATCAAAGATACAAACTGAGTTGTCTGAATGCTGCTGCTGACTATTTGTTTTGTATTTTGATATATTTATGTGATCAATAAATCAAGTTGTCTGAATCTGATATTATTTTTTATGTTTGTTTGTTTACAGTTGTCAACAAGGAGGAGCCAGAATTAGCCATTGCTACTGAAGAGAGTCAGGATGAGGAGCCAACAAAAGCCAAAAAGAGAAAGCAAGTCACGTTTCATTGTACAGATTCACAGAGTCACAAAAATGTCTACTCTTCATAATGAATTAATAATCTTCCTTAACATCTATCTTGAGTTTTTATCACTTTGTCTCTTAATCCTCGTTTCTCATCCTCTGGTGGTGTGTGCGCTTTGTCCCTCACAGGAAAGAGGACGTGAAGGAGCCAGACTCTGAGAAGGAAGCAGCGATGGAGGCAGAGCTCAGAGCTGCCAGAGAACGAGCTATAGTGCCCCTAGAGGCTCGGATGACGCAGTTCAGAGAAATGCTCCTGGAAAGAGGGGTAACACTGACTTTTTACTGAAGTAACAACACACTGACATAGAGTTTGAGAACAGCTTGTCCTAAATCCGAGCATTTAAGCTCAGGTAGCTAAAAGATAAACATGAGTACCCTGTGCATTATATGAAGTTTCCTGAAGGTTTGTGTACATTTTTAATTTCTGCCTGTTACATAACTCTTACTCATTTTTTTCTACTGGATGTTAGTCAAAACATTCAATCTGTCAGTATCTACAGTTTCAACGACACTTTGGCTGTATATGGTAACCGCTCAGCTGTCTGTCTAAAACAAGTGTTTGTCTGTTTTACACAAAGGTGTCTGCGTTCTCGACTTGGGACAAAGAGCTTCATAAGATTGTGTTTGACCCACGTTACCTTCTGCTCAACCCAAAAGAAAGGAAGCAGGTTCGGTTCCTTCCCTTACTGTCATTCCCTTATTCCTACCAACATGGTGTCATGTGAAGTAAGTTAGTTTTGAAGACTTCAATTACTGTTTTGTGATTATGTCCACTTGTAGGTTTTTGATCAGTACGTTAAGACGCGAGCGGAGGAGGAGAGGAAGGAGAAGAAGAACAAGCTGATGCAGGCCAAAGACGAGTTCAGGAGGATGATGGAGGAGGCGAAGCTAACAGCTAGGTAAAGGGACAGGCCAGTTTGACTACTGGTAGGTTCTGATTGGTGTTTAAAGGGATACTATTACAAAATATACTTGAAGAGTTATATGTTGTGTGCTGACAAATAGTGACAGATTGTAATAATAGCCAGCATCCAAAGGAAATTGCTTTTATGACTTTTTTATTATTACATTATCATTCATCCAGAGAGGTTGGAATTTGTTTTTGTGTTTGAAAATAAGTGAAAGATTTATATGTGAATTCAATTCAAACAGTCAAAATTTAAAGTTTAAATTTTCTGTTTTTTTCCCTCCTACAGAACAACATTTAGTGAATTTGCTGTGAAGCACGGCCGAGACCCCCGGTTTAAGACCATAGAGAAGATGAAGGACAGGGAGGCCATCTTTGTGGAGTTCATCACTGCAATGAGGAAGAGAGAGAAAGAGGACTCCAAGTCCAGAGGAGAGAAGGTTATACTCACTCTCAAACACAGTTCACTTTAGAACTTGAACACTAATTGTGTGTCCCATGAGTCAATCATCCAAAAGTACGCTCCTCTGATTTTGAACAGGAGTCCTCATGAAAACACATTTCTTGCCGGTTTTGACACTTTTTTTGCTTCCAGGTGAAGCAAGACTTCTTTGATCTGGTGAGTGAGCAGCACATAGAGGGAAGTCAGCGGTGGAGCAAAGTGAAAGAAAGGCTGGAGACAGACCCGCGATACAAGGCTGTGGAGAGTTCGGCACTGCGAGAAGAACTTTTCAAACAGTTCATAGAAAAACAAGCCAAGGTGGGTGCAGTTCTCTGTTGTGGAGGATAATAGCTTCAGAATGTTTGTGCTCGACTTGAATAGAATTCACCCTCAGATTTTGAAACGTCACATAACAAAAGAAACTGAAGCCGGCTTTCTGTTGTCTATTACAGAACGTGGACATCGACAAGGAGCGTGAGCTGGAGCGGCAGGCTCGTATCGAAGCCAGTCTGAGAGAGAGGGAGCGGGAGGTGCAGAAAGCTCGATCTGAACAGACCAAAGAGATCGACCGAGAAAGAGAGCAGCACAAGAGGGAGGAGGCCATCCAGCATTTCAAAGCTCTCATGTCTGATATGGTAAGACGACTGCAGTTTTTTTTTCTATTAAAACTTCCTTTTATGTAAAAAAAAAAGAAAAAAAAAAATTTCAATTTTCAATAAGACCAAAATTATTTGCATCATTACTGGTCACTTTTTTTTTTTTTTTTTTTACAAGATTGAATCAGAACGTACTCGTAGAGAAGTAAAAACTGATTTCTGCAATTTTTGTGTCTCGAATCTGAGCTCTTGCAGGTATGAGTCATGATTTACAGCTTACAATGATAACTACAAAGATAATCTTATAGAGTGTTTATTTATTTGTTTTGTCTGAAATGGAACTCATACAATTGAATGATTTTCACATTTCATTTATTACTTTATTTTACATGACAATATCATGTTTATAATTCTGAAGCAATGCCAGATTTACCAAAAAATGAATCGTCATCTTTAGTCCTTAGCATGGCCAAAATTGAATCAGAATAATAGAGCTTAAATCTTTGTCTTCTTTATTCATAATCAGGTACGCTCGTCAGATGCAGCCTGGTCAGACACACGTCGCAACCTGCGGAAGGACCATCGCTGGGAGTCGGCGTCTCTACTGGAGAGAGAGGAGAAGGAGAAGCTGTTTAACGAACACGTAGAAGCACTGGCCAAGAAGAAGAAGGAACATTTCAGGCAGCTACTGGATGAGACCATTATGGTGAGAAGAAAAATATTAAAGTTAAATAAATAAAGTTATTTAAAAAAAAAGTGTCATTTAAGATCAGCAGTTTTCTCTGTTCTTTTTTTCTGATGTGCACTGGTAGTCACATCTAGTAACTCTAAATAGTTTTTGTGCTTGATCCTATATTTATGCACTCCTGTTTATTAACATGTTATTTCTTCTGTTTGTGTTGTAGATCACTCTGACAACTACATGGAAGGAGGTGAAGAAGGTTATCAAGGAAGACCCTCGCTGTATTAAGTTCTCCTCCAGTGACAGAGTAAGACATTTCATTGTTACGCTCCCTCCTATTTCAATTTTCTTGTATGCTTTAAAGATGAAAAGATTAAAGTTCTGACAAAATCTAATTCTGTTTTGAGACTTTGATAAATACAAACTGAAGTTACATTGTACGAATCTAAAGGGATATTATGAAAAATTAAAAACACCTCTGGTTAAGCACAGAAGACAAACACAACTCTCTAAAGGGATCATTGTGTAAGCACCAGTTCAATCCATCCTTTTGACAGGTTTAATTATTTTCATATTAAGCTACGGATTGTTTTTTATTTGTGCTCGTACCTGAGCTTTAGAATAGGAAAAACAGAGTACACATTGAGTATCATCTGAAGAGCTGCCATAGGGGGAAAAACACTGATCACCATTTTCAGTTCATTCCTAATATAAAAAAGTGAACAGTGTTGTCATGAAACAACATCAGTATATTGTTACAGATATCAGGGATTTATTTGGTAGATAAAACAAAAAATAAACTTGGTTCTGAGAATTCTCCCCAGGCAGACAAAGAGGATTAGACGCGATTCACTGTGATCGGAAACATACACATTGAAAAAAATCCCCCACTTTCAAATTGACCCCGCGGTTATGTTTGTTATGTTGTGAATTGATGCACTTCCTATTTGTCTGAGATATAGTGTCTGATGTGGATAATCTGTGTGTGTGTGTAGAAGAGACAGCGGGAGTTTGAAGACTACATCAAAGACAAATACATCACCGCCAAAGCTGACTTCAGAACGCTGCTGAAGGAGACAAAGTTCATCACATACAGGTCTGAAAAATCCATTTGTCACATGATCGAAACAAGTATCAATGAATGCAATTAACAGTTTCAAATAGTTACTTATTATTGGAAATATGATCCAATTGAATATCTTACACAAGAAATATGAGAGATATGATGAAATTGTCCACACGCAACTCTACTTGTCAAACCTTATTTTCCCACTGCTTTAGGATGCAGGTTATTTTTCATTATTAAACTAATTGTTGGAGAAGTGTAAAAGTGAATTGGATACAATATGTCCTCTTTCATATTTTTGGGATTGATAAATTAGTAAATAAGAAGAAAATTCAAGGACTTTTAGCATTTGAGGTGAGAAAGCTGCCACACATGTTGTGTCACTTAGGGCGCGGTCACACTGGCCATCCATACCATGCCCAAGCACGCTTCAACCCAAGTCCAGTTCATTTGGCCAGTGTGACCCTTCCGAGCCGTGCTCAGGCACGGTACACTTCCTTGGCTTCTGCACGGTACACTTCATGCACGAGCACGAGCACGCAGGTACACAACGCTGACAGCCTTCATTGGAGAAATCCAGAGTTTCATGTCTGTATCTGACTAAAATGACACAATATAAGCCACAAAGTAGCTGTCATGTTCTGTGTAGTTCTCCGATGTGCAGCCGTGGACTCTGCCGCGCGTCTATTTTATTTTTTAATTTATTTATGGCTGTGTCTGTTAAAAATGGCTTAAAATAAGCTGCAAAGTCAGTAAAGTAACTGTCATGCTCTCTGTGTTGTTCTCCGATGTGCAGACGCGGACTCGACTGCGTGTCTCTTTCTCTCTCTCTCTATCCCTCTCACACTTCATAAAGCATGCATACGTTGTATTACGACATTATGTACAAGAGGTAATCGTTTATCACAGATAGTCCTGTGTAGTGTGACCGCAGATGGCGCAGCGGGTAGCCAATTGCGCTTGAGTACGGCACGGTACAGATGGCCAGTGTGACCTCGCCCTTATGAACAACTTGTGGTTTTTTTGATTTTTTTTCATGCCTCACAAGACAAAATATTTGAGTTTGAAGTGATTTGTCTGTCAAGAAGATGAGTGTCTTCTGCCAGTCTCACATGCTCCCTTCCACCAGGTCGAGGAAGCTGATCCAGGAGTCAGAGCAGCATCTGAAGGACGTGGAAAAGATCCTCCAGAACGACAAGCGGTACCTCGTCCTCGAGTGTGTCCCAGAGGAGCGCAGGAAGCTCATTATGTTCTACATCGAAGATCTAGACCGCCGTGGCCCACCACCTCCCCCCACTGCCTCTGAGCCCACCCGACGCTCTACTAAGTGACCAATCCCATCATCTTCTCGGCCAGTGCCCTACTCCTCGCCTTCCCTTTGGCCAGAGCATGACCTCCCCTGTCACCCCATGAGACCCGCCCAACAGGCCCACGGCTGGCCTCGCAGTGTTATGATTGCTGAGGGGTCATGTTGCTTAGAGATGTATCATAGAGATGAACGGTTAAGTTCTCTGTGTTATGTCCCCTCTTAGCCCTGAAATGTTTTTAAGGCAAAGCAGGGAACACAGGTTACCTGACGGCAAGGTGACCCTGAAACCTCCACCTCTGACTGACCAGATGGATAAGACTGCAGCTTAAGCAGTTAAAGAGGTGTAAAACAGCTGATGTAAATGAGTGAGTGTGTGTGTAAACACGTGTGTGAGTGATTGATGGTGTGTGTGTGCATGTGTTCGAGGCGTCCTTAAGCCTTACTGCTCCACTGTGCCAGTCATTGTTTCAGCGGCTCAGTGTGAATGTTAGTTTATTCTCAGTGGTTTACTCCGATAACGCAGCAGTTTGTCTGTCGAATGAAATAAAAGCAACTTCCACTGTTTTTCAACATGTCTTCACTTCATTTATTTCCTACACCAACATTTTCCATCCACTTAACTAACTAATTTAAATATATTTAGCAATATAAAATAGAATAATTATCTACAAAATCCTGACATCTTTTTGACTAATGATATGAATAATGTGTGGACATGCATACAAACATGCTTATTTGTTCCTCACGATTTCTGCGCTGTTTCAGTAAAACTAGGAATCATGGCTGTACATTATTTATGCGAACTTATGCTGCTCAAGTGCTCCTCGGATGATGCCTTAGATTTTCCGTTATCGTTGTAGTAATGGATTTCAGTGTGAATGGGGTAGACCATGCGAAAACGATGTGATTGTTTCGTTGCTCTCTGATAAAACGTTGCAAGCTATTTTCGAAATTAGATATATTGAATAGAAGAGATGTTTATTGCCATTTGCACAGGTACAGGACAGTACAGGTGCATTGGAATTCTTGTGCGTTTCTCCCACAGACTGTAAATATTAGTTTCTCCCTGAGTCAGCTTCTACAAAAAAAGTGAAAATTATATATAAAATAGAAAAGCATTGTGGTCAAGAAAAAAAGAGAGTACAAATAAAAGTAAAAATAAATAAGTTGTAACAGCTAAGTGATTTAAAATAAACTGTACTGAAGTTATACATTGTATTAAAGCAAATATATAATACAAAAAAAAATATATATATATATATATATATATATATATATATATATATATAAATAAACCCTAAAAAATTTTTTCCTCCGATTGTTAAAGGGCTTCACAACAAAAATAATATTTTGTAATCTAGGGCACTAGGAGAACGGCAATTTACTAGTGAAGACCAAACACCGTATTACGCACATAAGAAAAAAAGTGACATGCGACCCCCCCCAAAAAAAGAAAAACCGGTTCATAATGCCACTGGCCGCCAGTGACGGCTGTGATTGGTCGAAACGATCCATTCTCTCGGATCACGTGATGTTGCCGGACGTTGCTCGGTCATTGGTTGAATTGAACCCTGATTGAACCTTACAGTCTATGGATTGAACCGCATATTCATGACGCTGTCTAGCCATCTTTTGTGCAGTAGTATCCCGTGGCCTTTTTTTCACGGCAACATTATCAACATACAGCGACAGAGGGAACCGACATGTATGCATTTTGAAGGAACATTCAGTCCTTTGAAGTTTTATGAAGGACAAAGACAGGCGCTAACAACCCTGATGTGTTAGGTTAACTTCTCTCCTCTCCTCCTGGTTATCTCTGCTCCGTCCGGTGCTGCTATGGACGGCTCTCTGCTACTCCTGCTCACCGTCGTGCTGTCGGCCTGGGCTGCTGTCGGAGATCCGACCGGACCAGTACATGTGGACGGAGCTCCACCTTCCAAAATAGGTAAAGGTAGCATTACGTTAACGCGTCTAAACCAGTGTATTTAGCAAAGTTAGCCTGCATTCATATGATTTAAAGTGACTAATTAGACATAAGAGTAATCATTATGTGAGCGAAGTCCTGTGTCTTGATCAACACACTGTTAATTAACATACTCCTGTGTATCATTAGACATACATTCCCACGGGCTAGGTTATTATACTGTACATCTCCAGAGTAATATTTTGTCAGCTAAATATTCTGCTATTTACATTTCCCTGTTTGCACCGTCCGTTCATCTACATTTACTACATTTATTTTTACCAGCTGAAAGGCAGATAAAATCCTTAAGTAGCTAGATGTCAGTACTAATAAGTTCAAAAACATCAAAAATGATAGATTAAATTTTTATGATATAGTTGTAGGAACTGTTCAAAGCCTGCTAAACACATTTGAAATGTGCAGGCCTCAAGTCTCTGATCTGGGAAGATGAAGTAAAGTAGGATTAGTAATTGTTGGATAACTGAGTTGAAGAGGTTGGTGTTGATAAATCAACTAATTTCATCACATATTTCAGACCAACAAAATATAATCAAAAAGAACAAGAGGTTAACAAATCCCAGTCTACTGGCTGTACAGTCAGTCTGAAAGTGGAATCTCCTGATGTCTTGTGGCTACATAAAATGAACACCTCCATATGATTGATTGTCATTGGTTTCTTAACATATCTCACTTCCAAACAACGTGTTTATTTCCCACTTTCTGTCTGTTATTGGCTGTGATCTTCTGTGCTCCAGCGGTGGTTGGGGCGGGAATAGGAGGCAGTGCCACGACACATTTCCTGCGGCAGCACTTTGGCCCTGAGGTCCAGGTGGACGTGTTTGAGAAGGGGGAGGTTGGAGGCCGTCTTGCAACTGTAACGGTCAATCACAATGACTATGAGTCGGGGGGCTCCATCATCCATTCCCTCAACCTTCACATGCAGGACTTTGTCAAACAGCTAGGTTGGCTTATGCACACACACACACACACACACACACACACACACACACACACACACACACACACACACACACACACACACACACACACATCACTACAATAAAGCTAAGGCTAATCAGACAGTGAAGCTACCTGACTGTGCAGAATTAATTTAGTCACTGTATGTCCCTTATTTCTTAACTTTACAAGAAATGAAGCATCATGTCTTATTAGATTGTAAAATCTGAGTTAAAAAAAGAGCTTAGCTTCAATTTTATTTTATTTACAACAGAAAAGACCTTGCCTCTATATAGAACCTGCAACATGTATTAGGGTTACACACCAGAAATGAATCAATCACTTGGAACAGCAATGATAAAAAAAAAAAAAATCTGTATCTTGATGGATCTATAAAGCTTGGTGGTTACGAGTTTAATAACATTGTGACTTTTTAGCTGGGGGCTGTTTGTGGGCTCACCCTGAAAATGATGCAAGTGTTAAGGCACCAATTGATGTCTGTATCTTCTGTGTATATTCCTGCTGAAGTAATGACAACAATGCGGTTTACATCTTAACCTCCTGAAGAAAGATGTTTATTTTACAAAGTTGGTCAAGTTGAAAATGTTCTTCCCAGTATTCATTTGATTTCCACAGTGAAAGTAGAACATTTTGATGACTGCTGGAGACAAATCTATTCAACACACCCAACATACTTTATCCCTCTCAATGTGTATATTTGTATGTCTGCTCTGTGTCTTCCTCTCAAGGCTTGAAGTACCGTCGCAGTGTGGCAGGTAAGACGGCAGTGTTTAACGGCGAGGAGGTGATTCTGGAGGAGACAGACTGGTACCTGTTGGACCTCTTCCGGCTTTGGTGGCGCTATGGCATCAGCTTCATACGCCTGCAGATGTGGGTGGAGGAAATTATGGAGAAATTCATGAGGTGAGTCGGGGAAATGTACAACCAGATTGCTGTTTAGTCTAATTGTCTAACGTTTGACAGGATGTAGCTTAATTTATTTCACCAGTGCATCACACCTTCATTGTGGATGTTCCAGTGGTCTCATGAGGATCAGGGGAGTCTCCAAGTTGTTTTGACTGGTGTGGCCCATTTAGGACAGTGACCTATGCAAGGGTTTCATGAAGGAATGTACACACACACACACACTCTGATCTGGAAGGCAATTTTTGAACATTTTCATTTCCTTTAATCATAGCTACCTAATCTACTGACATTAAGAGATCATACAGTTGTTACATTCCTGTGTGAAGATTTGTTTTTAATCAAACAAGTCCTCAACCTTTCTAGTTTAACACCTCCTCTCAGCTTTTGAAATCAGTCAGTAAAGCCTTTATGGGGCTTTTCGTTTTGTAACTGCCGAGCCTGATGCCGAATTCTCTGCAAAACCTCGACTCAATGTGGGACTTAACAAGCATGAGGGAGTTCATGATACATTGAGACCACCCTGATAACATCTGCTCATAATGTTTATGTGCAGCTGTCGAAAAAAATACCTCTCTTTAACCCCCATCAACAAAACAAAAGATCAACAAAATTAATGTCATTCACCTGTTTGTCCTGTTTCAGGTACAAGGTGTTACGTGACCTCACATTTGATAAATGTAGACACTTTACCCCTCTATTATTACATTTCCTCAACCTTTATTTCCTCCATCATAAAGTCATTAATCTCTGGCTCGCTTTTGTTCTTCCTCTCTTTATCAACAACGATAAGCCTGTATGTCTCTGTCTGCCCCTGTTAATGTGTCATGAAAGACATAAAGGGATATAGATAGAAATTAGGAAAAAAGTGCATTTATAAATGTGTCTACTAATTAATCCCAAGTGACAGTCAAATATAAGTGATCAGTATTTGTTTTGTTTTTGTATAATGTAGGATCTATAAGTACCAGGCTCATGGATATGCGTTCAGCACGGTGGAGGAGTTGCTGGACTCTCTCGGAGGGAGCGGTTTCATAAACATGACTCAGAGGCCGCTCTCTGATTCCCTGCTGGAGCTGGGTGTGTCGCAGCGCTTCATCGATGAGGTCATCGCGCCCGTCATGAGGGTCAACTATGGTCAGAACGTCAGCATCCCGGCCTTTGTAGGTGAGTGTGTAGAAACCAGCAGTAGAAGGAGGAGAGGAGGTAGTGAGGAGATGATAAGTTTAGAAGAAACGATAGAAAAAGGGAGAAGTGGGAGAATGTGGTGCTAAAATCAGGGCCAGCTAGGAGCTGAACATGGAGAGAGGAAATGAAGAGAGGATATGAGGAAGGGAGAACCGGGAGGGGGGGGGGCAATAATAGAAGAGAGCAAAGTAAGGTGAGAAGCACAGAAAAGTGTGTGGGAAGCTGATAATTGGTTTATAGCACTTGGAACTGTCTATTGAGAGTGACCTAATGTGTTCATGTGTGTGTGTGTGTGTGACAGGCGCTGTGTCTTTAGCTGGTGCCCAGAACAACCTGTGGGCGGTGGAAGGAGGCAACAAGCTGGTGTGTTCAGGCCTCCTGAAGATGGCCAACGCTAACCTGCTGCAAGCACAAGTCACCTCTATCTCCCCGCTCTACTCAGGTACTTCACTTGATGCTGGCTGAATGACCATGTTCCCTTTTGCATGTTTTTTTTGTCATGTCGTCTGTTGATGACGTGTTTTGTGTATTTTTTTCTACAGAGTTTTCTACAGAGTTGCCTCAGTACGAGCTGAACTTCAGCACAGCAGCAGGGACCAGTTCAGAGCTGTATGACATTGTGGTGTTGGCGACACCGCTCCAGGCCAGTGTCAGGTCAGGAGTCCTCTTCCAAGGTTTCAACCCTCCCTTTGACGAACTCCCTGGAAACTATCACGGCACCGTAGCAACTATTGTCCATGGTTACCTCAACACCTCCTTCTTTGGTTTCCCGGACCCCCGCCTGTTCCCTTTCGCCAGCATTTTGACAACTGAGACGCCTGATCTGTTTTTCAACAGCGTGGCCAGCGTTTGTCCCGTCAACATCTCGACAGGCTTCAGACGTAAACAGCCGCAAGAGGCCGGAGTCTATAAAGTTTTTTCACCTCAACCTCTGGAGAAGAGTCAGCTCAAAGCACTGTTCAGGTCAGCAGCTTCCTCACTGTCAAAGTTCTCATGCTGCTCAGACTAACAAATGTTTTCATGCTATCTGTTACTCTCAAAATGCTAACTTGCTGATGTAAGGATTGACATTTTTTAATGTTAAAAATGTTACATTAACCAACATAACCAGCTAAGTGTGTAGTATGTAAGTATGCCAACATGGGCTTATTAGCACAAAACACAAAGAGGCTGATGAGAATGTTCATGGTTTTGCAGGTAATTAGTCATCAAACATTATGAATAAAGTTGTGACCATATTGTTGCTAAGGTTACACCATCACCAGAATCCACAGTTCATTCTGGAGGGAACATGAATGTTTGCAAAGGTCTTCTTGGCATCCATAAAATATTTGTCAAGACATTTCACTGGAAAAAAAAACTTAAATATCATGGCAGTGATGGAGGAAATGTCAGGGGATCACTGAAGTCAGTGGGTTCATCATCTGGTTTTGCTGCATTCATCACTGAAATAGATCCAATAGTTGTGTAGACATTTCTGTTTGGATCAAAATGTTGGACCAACTGAAAGAACAACATAACCATTGAATCAATGTTGCTAATGTACTGTGCTGACATTTACTCAACTAACTACCAATCTTTGATTGATTTCAAAACATCGTACAGAGAAAATTGTACATGCAAAGTAACATTTTCCCTCCTGTTTGGATCTCAGGTCCTACTACTCAGTGCAGGTGACAGAATGGCAGGCCTACCCTTGTTACGGCAGCAGCGAGGGCCTGCCGCCCGTGGAGCTCCACCCAAATCTCTACTACCTCAGCGGCATCGAGTTAGCCGGCAGCGCCATGGAGATGAGCGCTGTGGCGGCCAAGAACATTGCTCTGCTGGCCTATCATCGCTGGAACAGACAGACAGACATGGTGGACCAGAAAGATCTGATGCACAGGATCAAAACTGAACTATGACCTGGTCAGCTTACAGCTGAAACCTAGAAGTGTACATGCTGTGAAGCAGAAAAGAAGGGGTCAGGGTAATTGTCGCTCTTTTAGTGTCACAAAGCTGTGAACTGCACAAAAAGTTAGCTCTTAGCTCTGCAATTTGATCAGTAAAATATTTGTAATAGGATACTACAATGTGACCGGTTTGGTTTGGGGCTTTTTTGTGCCTTTAATTAGAGATAGGAGAGTGGATAGAGTCAGAAATCGGGGAGAGAGAGGGGACTGATATGCGGGACTACAGACTACGTACAGTGGGTACGGAAAGTATTCAGACCCCTTTACATTTTTCACTCTTTGTTTCATTGCAGCCATTTGCTAAAATCAAAAAAGTTCATTTTATTTCTCATTAATGTACACTCAGCACCCCATCTTGACAGAAAAAAAACAGAAATGTAGAAATTTTTGCAAATTTATTAAAAAAGAAAAACTGAAATATCACATGGTCATAAGTATTCAGACCCTTTGCTCAGTATTGAGTAGAAGCACCCTTTTGAGCTAGTACAGCCATGAGTCTTCTTGGGAATGATGCAACAAGTTTTTCACACCTGGATTTGGGGATCCTCTGCCATTCTTCCTTGCAGATCCTCTCCAGGTCTGTCAGGTTGGATGATGAACGTTGGTGGACAGCCATTTTCAGGTCTCTCCAGAGATGCTCAATTGGGTTTAGGTCAGGGCTCTGGCTGGGCCAGTCAAGAATGGTCACAGAGTTGTTCCGAAGCCACTCCTTTGTTATTTTAGCTGTGTGCTTAGGGTCATTGTCTTGTTGGAAGGTGAACCTTCGGCCCAGTCTGAGGTCCTGAGCACTCTGGAAGAGGTTTTCTTCCAGGATATCTCTGTACTTAGCCGCATTCATCTTTCCTTCAATTGCAACCAGTCGTCCTGTCCCTGCAGCTGAAAAACACCCCCATAGCATGATGCTGTCACCACCATGTTTCACTGTTGGGATTGTATTGAGCAGTGCCTGGTTTTCTCCACACATACCGCTTAGAATGAAAGCCAAAAAGTTCAATCTTGGTCTCATCAGACCAGAGAATCTTCCTTCTCATAGTCTGGGAGTCCTTCATGTGTTTTTTGGCAAACTCTATGCAGGCTTTCATATGTCTTGCACTGAGGAGAGGCTTCCATCGGGCCACTCTGCCATAAAGCCCCGACTGGTGGAGTGCTGCAGTGATAGTTGACTTTGTGGAACTTTCTCCCATCTCCCTACTGCATCTCTGGAGCTCAGCCACAGTGATCTTTGGGTTCTTCTTTACCTCTCTCACCAAGGCTCTTCTCCCACAATTGCTCAGTTTGGCTGGACGGCCAGGTCTAGGAAGAGTTCTGGTCGTCCCAAACTTCTTCCATTTAAGGATTATGGAGGCCACTGTGCTCTTAAGAACCTTGAGTGCTGCAGAAATTCTTTTGTAACCTTGGCCAGATCTGTGCCTTGCCACAATTCTGTCTCTGAGCTCCTTGGGCAGTTCCTTCGACCTCATGATTCTCATTTGCTCTGACATGCACTGTGAGCTGTAAGGTCTTATATAGACAGGTGTGTGCCTTTCCTAATCAAGTCCAATCAGTTTAATTAAACACAGCTGGACTCCAATGAAGGAGCAGAACCATCTCAAGGAGGATCAGAAGAAATGGACAGCATGTGAGTTAAATATGAGTGTCACAGCAAAGGGTCTGAATACTTATGACCATGTGATATTTCAGTTTTTCTTTTTTAATAAATTTGCAAAAATTTCTACATTTCTGTTTTTTTCTGTCAAGATGGGGTGCTGAGTGTACATTAATGAGAAATAAAATGAACTTTTTTGATTTTAGCAAATGGCTGCAATGAAACAAAGAGTGAAAAATGTAAAGGGCTCTGAATACTTTCCGTACCCACTGTACATGAGGCGCGCTAAAAACCTCTACGTTACTTTTTATTATAATTTATTACTATAAACAGCATCTTGACAGTGGATTGATTGTCAATATATTATATCGTGACCCTTCTTTTCTTTGAATAAACTTCATACATTTTAATGGGGCGTCCGATAGCCTAGTGGTTATGTCGCGCGGCCCACGTACGGAGCCTAAAGTCCTCGCCTCAGCCCTGGATGTCAGCTCTTTGCTGCATGTCAACACCCACTCTGTCCTCCCAATGTTTCCTGTCTCTCTTCAGCTGTCCTGTCCAATTAAGGTAGAAACAGCCCAAAAATATAAATTCAAAAAACATACATTTTCAACAGAAGAGTTGCATTAATTCTTAAACTCATTTGAAGTCTAGTTGTTAAAGGCATATGAAGGCAAGTTTCTGATTTCACTGACTGCTTCCTCTATATGTCAGCGTTTTGCAGTCTTGGATTGGGATTGATTGCTTTGGTTAATAAGCGATTTCATCCACAATTCAAGCTGCAGTCAGCTTTTCTGGGCTAATGCCGTTTAACAGAGTTGCTTGTAAACTTCAAACACACTTCATGCCAGCATGAATTAAAGCATTAAAAAGCTGTTGTAACATTAGTCCAGTTACTGTTTTAACTTAAACAACAGCAGCACTATTAGCTGTTTACTTCCTCTAACTGTTTGAACTGCAACACTTTGTTCATTCAGAAAATAATTCTGATGTGACTCATGGACATGGACACTGGTGCCATGCTCTGTTGCCCCTTTCATCAGACTGTTTCATTATCTCCCCTTCCTGCTGCTTTTGTTGCGTAATCCAGCGGAAAGATTTTTTTTTTTTTTCTGGGGAATGCAGCCAACAAGCTTTCACACTGGACCAAATACAAGCAGAGGGCTGATCTGTGGTGCGATGAAGACGACACTTTCTTTTTTTGAACCATGTAAATATAACACATTTTTAATAAACTACTATGGTTTTGAAAAATACATGAAGATGGAGCTGACCCTTTAGTGTTAGAAATGTACACCAAAAAGAAGGTGGTATGTTGAAGCATTTAAAAAAAAAAGAAAATTGAATGTTTAATATTCTCATATGAATTCAGATCTGCCTTGTTTAAATCATATTTATTAACAAAATTCTAAAAACAGTGGATTTGGGCTAAAGTAGTTTTTGGACTCAAAAAAACAAAAAACTTGTGAAGTGAATGTGCTGTGACTTCAGTTATCCTCAATTAATGGATATTGATATTGTGTCGTAATGAGGAAACAACCTTACCCTTTAAACTGAGGAATTTGTTTGAAGAAGTCATGATGGTGTCAGAATTAAAGCCTTGACACAATAAAAGTATTTATCTGAAATAAAAGAAACATAGTTGCTAAGGTTTTCAAGACTACTGGAAGAAGTATTTTGACACTTGGGTTAAAATACTTCTTCCAACAAAAGAAAATCAACGACAATGCAGGTTTCAAAGTTAAGGTACCTACTCGTTACCTCCATGACTCATATTTACATAAATAATATTATTGGATTCATATTACTGATGCATCTTTCTGTTATGCCAGGTAAAGGAGGATTTAATCGCTGTGTATACTGTGAGGTACTCAAGGACAGTTTTCAGTTGTCTTTCTGCCAGCTATCGTAAAATAAATCTTTGGGGATGAGATGTCGTTAATGTGGGGAAAGAAGAAAACAAGTTCTGAAATGCAAAATTTGTGTTTTTTATTTTTATTTTCTGATTTTCTATTTTTTATTTTGTGAAACCACTGGATTTAACCTTTCACAATGTGTGGGACTTTACATTAAATCTTGTTTTGAATGTATTTTACAAATTGAGTACAACAGTGCTTAATGTAGAAGGAGTAAAAAGTACAATATTTCTCTCTTGACCTGTAAGGTTGCACTTTAATCCGTTGTTGATCAGGTGCCTGAGTTTTTCACAGATTTTTGCTCAAAGTAAATAAATCCAATAATTTCCAAAATGTGCATGTTTATGTTGACTTTAGGAACAGACAAAGTGGGAAAAACTGAGCTAACATAATCCTGTGATATCAATTATTAAATGACAATGATTAATAAGACAGATGTGGCTGATGACACGTATGCAGTGTCACTCTTGTGTCTTTCTTTTCTATCAAGATCAGCACGTTTCATATTCCATCTGCATCCAAACATTTTTAAGTGTTTACAACGTATACTGTTCATGATTCTGGCTGTTTATAAAAAGAAAAGCACTGGACTGTTTGCTATGATTTTTTTGTTGATTAACTCTGGATTTACAAGTTTGATTTCATCTTTATTCATTTACTGTTAAAAAACTACCATGAGCCCTGAACAAAATTAATTTTCTTACTTGATTTAATTCTGCTGTGTTCAGTCTTTTTAGGTTTCATTTTCCTTGACTGAAAGGTTAAGGAAAACGGAAGTTACGAGGTAATGAGTGCAAGATTGATACCAATCAGCTCCTTCATGCTTTAAGATCCTAAACCTGGCTGTCAGCCAAAGATATTCACACTAATGGTTTTTTTAGTTTGCAGTGTTTTTCGTCACAGTCTTTAGATAGATAGATAGTTCGACATATAGGTGCTTTATTTTCATTGTATTTAGGAACACAACGAAACTTTGTTGGCAGCAATCCTGTACAGCAGCATCTTAGTCATCCCCTGAAGTCAAGAAGCGCCCAAATAAAAAAACATCATCTCAGCAGATGAGATGATGCTATGAAATATTTTCTGTATTTTCCTGGGAAATTTAATAATAGGTCCTGTGTGTGCTCCTTTTCAGCTTCCAACCAGCTCAAACACAACCACAATGCTGCTAATAGAATAAGAGGGAAATTGGCTAACAAAGTGACCCAAGACATATGACTCAATCTGGTGTAACAAGAGTTGCTTGTTCTACTGTCTCTTTAATCCTGACACTACTGTATATGTTGAACTCAGCTGCAAATGGACAAAAACTTCAGAAGACTACCCGGTTTCTTTTCTCTGAGCTGTTGATACAATGTATTATTTTCTTTATTCTTCCAGCACAAGGCATGATGACATACTGTACAATGCTGAGGTAGTACACTTTCTTTTCAAGGTGTATTGTGATATACTCAGAGGTCACTCTATGGGTAAAATAATTCTAATCAAACATTCAGACAGCCGTACATATTTGACAGAGAGTTTGTTATGAACCATGAGGGGGTTTCTGGTCTTTATCCAGGGACTGAAATCACCATAAATTAAGCAACTATTAGTTTCTATCAAATCAATATCAATTTCTTCACAACACTTTGTTACTTCTTCACTACATGATGACTTCCAATAATTTATGTTTTCTATTTACAGATGTAAGCACATTTGTGTATAACTTGAACAAGGTTATGTCTTAAAACGGGTTGTTATTTTTATTTAATAATAATTCAGACATTCATGCATCTTGTACGCCAGTTCAGGTGCCATTTTTG